GTAAAGTAAATGTCTGCCGCTTTTCCCCAATAATCCCTGCTAGCCTGCCCGAAAACAGCGATTTTAGGCGCTATGAGGAGTGGATTGACCCGAATGCCGATCTGACCCTCTACGAGCGGATCGGGAATTGGGAATTCGCGGCCGGGAGTTATATAGCCAGGAATTGCGAGTGGACCAAGGAGTTTTTGAGACTGTAGGTTTCTCTGTCACTCTCTCTCTCTCGCTCTCTCTCTCTCTCTCTCTCTCTCTCTCTCTCTCTCTCTTTTCGAGTCCACCTTTTTTTAGATTTGCCGACTACGAGACCCAAATTCCGAGGAGCTTCCACGGGACGGACAACGGGGCTTTGCACGTGAGTTTGATGGGAATTTTGAGGATTTCGCTTGGGCTTAGCTTCGGCTTAACTTAGGCTTGGCTTAGCTTAGACTTAGCTTAGGCTTAGCTTAGGCTTAGCTTAGGCTTAGCTTAGGCTTAGCTTAGGCTTAGCTTAGGCTTAGCTTAAGCTTAGCTTAGGCTTAGCTTAGGCTTAGCTTAGGCTTAGCTTAGGCTTAGCTTAGGCTTAGCTTAGGCTTAGCTTAGGCTTAGCTTAGGCTTAGCTTAGGCTTAGCTTAGGCTTAGCTTAGGCTTAGCTTAGGCTTAGCTTAGGCTTAGCTTAGGCTTAGCTTAGGCTTAGCTTAGGCTTAGCCTAGGCTTAGCTTAGGCTTAGCTTAGGCTTTGCTTATGCTTTGCTTAGGCTTGGGCTTGGCTGACTGAGCTTAGGCTTAGCTTAGGCTCGGCTTCGACTTTACCTCAGCGTTCAGATTTTCATCGCCGAAATGTTATACCCGGATTTGCATGAGGATCTAAAAGTGAGTACATTTGGCCTGGGACGCCTATTGGTGCGTGTTTTATCGGCATCTTCCAGACTTGCTGGGAAATCTATCGAAAATCACGCAACTACGAGACGCTTTTCATCTATGAAGCCTGTGTGCGGAACGTCATGGGATTCCGGCGGAACGTCGAGCATCTGAAGATTATGCCAAAGGTGGGCAGGCTTGCAGAGAAAATCTAGGGATGCTACCAATTCCAGGGCACCTCCTGGGTGCGGGATATCTGGCTGACAGACTCTCGGTGGAGCCGCGAGCACGACTTCATGCTCCACGCCCTCCAGCAGCAGAGGAGACTCGCCTTCAACTCGAATATGGTGGACCGGGCAAAGTAGGGTGTTTCAGAAATGGCATTTGTTGGCTTGGAAGTTTGGGCTTAGGCTTAGCTTAGAAACCTAGGCTTGACTGAGGCTTAGGCTCGGGCATAGGCGTAGGCTTAGCTTAGGCTTCGGCTGCTCAGGGATGCGAAAGCAATGTTTTATAGCTCATTTCAAAGCCCTTGACCAGCCGGATCGAATGGTACCACTTATAAGCCGATTTAATAAAAGCTAAGCCCGCTAAGCCGACTTATGTCTTTCGGGGCAGCCCAAAAATTGCAAAGCGCTGTAACTTTGCGCTGGAAACTCAAATCGTCGATCTGAAACCTGTTCTGACATGCCAAAGAGCTGCCCAATCTACCCTGAAAATTTCAAAACCGGAAACTTAATTCTAAGGGTATCGACTTTTCCGGGGTGGTCGAATCGGACGTCGGGCTTGGCCACCCGGAATTGCCAAAATCGGATGCCAAAATTTTTGGGCTGCCCCGAAAGACATAAGTCGGCTTAGCGGGCTTAGCTTTTATTAAATCGGCTTATAAGTGGTACCATTCGATCCGGCTGGTCAAGGGCTTTGAAATGAGCTATAAAACGACGTTGCATTCGCATCCCTCAGCAGCCGAAGCCTAAGCTAAGCCTAAGTGCGCGCCAACGCAAAAACTACGAAAAACACCCCAATCACGGTTTGACCAGTTCCCGCTGTCGTAGCGCCTTCAAATTACTAGGGGTGATTTCTGAGCCTTCTAGTAGCCTGAATACGAAAAATTGGACGAAATACGAAATTTAGTATGGGCTCCAAGCATCTCCATTACTACGACCCGTTCCTGCCGAATGCAAATTGGAGCGGATGCGCCGACCCGGAGTTTAAGTGGCCGCTCGATGAGCGGTTGATCGTAAGTTTTTGCGCAAACGATCTCTGCTAGCTTGGCTGAAATCTTGCGGGATTCTGGCCGTCGGCATTTTCGATTTTCGAATATTGGTTCGTCTGTATTTTCACTGTCGTGAAAATCTTGCTCATTTTTTACTGTGATTCTCGAAAGCCGTATAACTAGATATAAACCATTTTTGGAGCATTTTACATAGTTTTTAGCTATAAAATAATATACAAAAGTGTAAAAATTTTGGAAATTTTTGGACTTTTTGGTCAAAAATGTATGAAAAATGAACAAAAAAGTCAAAATTTTCGAATTTTCAAAGTTTTAAAAATATTTTCTGTAGGTTTTCAGCCATCAAAAACGATTACAAAAACTATAAAAATACAGAATGTGAATCAACAGCTGGCAAAATATTAAGTGGATTTCCCCCAGCTACACCCGCTCACCCCCCCCCCGCTAACAGTCAAGAACCGAAATCCCAAATGATCACTGCTAGCCTGCCCCATTCAGGTCGCGAACGAAGTGATCACCTCCACCCTCCACCGCCTCAAAAAGCAGACGGAAAAGGAGCGCTGGAAAATGGCGGGCAAGGTGGAAAAATGGGTATATTAAACGATAACGTATGCTACCGTATCCTGCCGTAATATTTGTAATTTTTAGTGCTTTTAATTCAACTTAAATTTCAGTAAAATTCTGACTTTTTCGAGTTTTTTTTAAAACAAAATCCGGGTTAATTCCTAGAGCTTTAGCGCCTTGATTTTTTGTCTAATTTGACGATTTTGTATTTGTCATTTTTGTGATTTTTCAATCTATTTAATTGTGATAAATTTCATAAAAATTGCTTGCTACAATTTATTTCACAAAAAAAACACCAAGAAATGGAGGAACCACCAGAAAAAAACGAATCGGCAAAAGAAGAGTTAGAAATCTGCAAAAAAAAACGATAAAAATTCTCGGCATACCAGAAAGAAAAATGCGAGTAAAACTGGGCTAATTGAGACTAGAATTATATAAAGTTATGAACAGAAATTGCCCTGAAAAAAAAACAGAAAAACGAGAACACAAAAATCGTAATTTCAATTTCTGGGGCTGACCGGAGTGTTGTGGAATAATCTGTGTGATGTGGAACCAGTGGATTTGGGGGGCTACCAGTTTAGAGGGGAGGGTTGAGTTGCTAGAATTGCAGGAAAACGTTAGGCTTAGGCTTAGACCTATGCTTAAGCTTAAGCTTAGGGTTAGACTTAGGCTTAGGCTTATGCTTAGGCTTAGGCGTAGGCTTAGGCTTTGCTTAGGCTTAGCTTAGGCTTAGCTTAGAGTTAGCTTAAAGTTATTGGGCTTAGGCTTAGGCTTAGGCTTAGGCTTTGCTTAGGCTTAGCTTAGGCTTAGCTTAGGCTTAGCTTAGAGTTAGCTTAAAGTTATTGGGCTTAGGCTTAGGCTTAGGCTTAGGCTTAAGCTTAGGCTTAGGCTTAGGCTTAGGCTTTGCTTAGGCTTAGCTTAGGCTTAGCTTAGGCTTAGCTTAGAGTTAGCTTAAAGTTATTGGGCTTAGGCTTAGGCTTAGGCTTAGGCTTAGGCTTAGGCTTAAGCTTACAAGGGGACGTTTTTGAGTGTCGTCGGGACTTTGGCATGGGACCAAGCCTATCTTGTGCAGAATTTTACGCTGATTCCGAATATGTTAACCGTTTTTGCGGAATAGCCATTTCTCGAAAGTTATGAACGATTTAAACCGCAAAACAGCGCAAAATTGGCTATTTTCGATAGTTATAAAAGGCTTCGGAATAGGTCGTAGACAAAACCGGATGGTGCATCTTGTTCAGAAAAAAATTCTCTATAAAATGTAGCATCTTCTCCAAAATCATTGAAAAGTTAGAAAAATTTGATAAATTGGGAGGCCCATAATTTTACAAAAATTTTCAAAATTCCGAAATTTTTGAGTTATGTAGCTTATTTTATAGAGAATTTAATTCTGAACAAGATGCACGATCTGGTTTTTTCTAAAACCTATTCCGAAGCCTTTTATGACTATCGAAAGTAGCCAATTTTGAGCTGTTTTGAGGTTTAAATCGTTCATAACTTTCGAGAAATGGCTATTCCGCAAAAACGGTTACCATATTCGGAATCAGCGTAAAATTCTGCACAAGGTAGGCTTGATCCCATGCCAAAGTCCCGACGACACTCAAAAACGTCTCCTTGTTAGGCTTAGGCTTAGGCTTAGGCTTTGCTTAGGCTTAGCTTAGGCTTAGCTTAGGCTTAGCTTAGACTTAGCTTAGGCTTAGCTTAAAGTCAGCTTAGGCTTAGCTTAAAGTCAGCTTAGGCTTAGCTTAAAGTTAGTTTGGGCTTAGCTTAGGCTTAGGTTTAAGCTTAGGCTTAGCCTTAAAGTTCAATGAGATCAGAAAGTTTAGCCGAAACAGGATAAATATTGACTAGATAGAAAAAAATCTTACTGGCTAGTTGGAGGTCATTTCTGGGGGCAAATCACAATCTGTTTTTCCACACAAAAGCATAAATTAAGCAGCTCTGAATAATTTGCATAAATTCCCAAATTTGCATATTAGAAATTTAAAATAAAAGTCGAGGGGGAGAGTTAAAGCGGGCAGCGGGGGGGGAAGGGGAACTGGCAAGTTAAAGAGACGGAGGGCAAAATAGCAAAATTGTAAAAAAAAAACGAAAATTACAATCTGGCGAAAAACCGCGTTTTAGTGATTTAAAGGGCATAGGAAGGGAAATGAAGAAAAGCGAGAATAAAATGCAAAAATATGGCGAAGTACAGCGAAAAGCAAAAATATATTAGAAAATGCAGAAAAAGGGCGGACATGCGAAACTTCCCAAATGGCCTCTGCTAGCTTGCCTTTTCGAGGAACTTGCACAAAATCAGGGAGCAAGAGCGTGCCTTAAGGGATAGGCTAGGTTCAGGCTTAGCTTGGCTTAGCTTAAGCTTAGGCTTAGGCTTAGGCCTGTCCTTGCCGAGCCTCACTCGTCTCCGGCTCGTCCTCCATCTCCTCGTCTTCATAATCGGAGAAATCGTCGTCATCCTCATCGTCCAGCTCGCCCTCCTCGGCCACGTCGACGATGACGTCGTCCTCAATTTCGGCCATCTCCGGCATGTCGCCGAGTTCTTCTCCGATTGCTGTCTAAAAAATATGCTTAGGGCGTCTATTTCCTAAATAATCTCTGCTAGCCTGCCCTTTCCTAAAGAATATCTGCTAGCCTGCCCTTTCCTAAAGAATCTCTGCTAGCCTGCCCTTCCAAAGAATCTGCTAGCCTGCCCTTTCCTAAAGAATCTCTGCTAGCCTGCCCTTTCCTAAAGAATCTCTGTCAGCCTGCCCTTTCCTAAAGAATCTCTGTCAGCCTGCCCTTTCCTAAAGAATCTCTGCTAGCCTGCCCTTTCCTAAAGAATATCTGCTAGCCTGCCCTTCCTAAAGAATATCTGCTAGCCTGCCCTTTCCTAAAGAATCTCTGCTAGCCTGCCCTTTCCTAAAGAATCTCTGCTAGCCTGCCCTTTCCTAAAGAATCTCTGCTAGCCTGCCCTTTCCTAAAGAATATTTGCTAGCCCGCCCTCCATTCAAATTTCTCACCTCATTCCTCCTCCTTCCCCGTTCCGTCAGGCAACGAGTCCTAGATGTGGATGGCATCTTCAGGGCCGCATCCCCATCAGAGAGAGTTCTAAATGAACTTAAATTTAAAGAAGACTCAGGAATTTTTGAACGTAAAACGCAACACGCCAATCACCAAAAACAACGAATTAGAACTAAAAAATGGCATGCAAGACCACGCGGCGAGACCCACTCTTTTTCGCGGCGCTCCCGCTCCGCCTCCTTTTCGGCTCTACAAAATTATGGGAATTGTTCTCTCTTTCTCTCTCTCACTCTCTCTCTCTCTTTCTCCCTCTCTCTCTCTCTCTCTCTCTCTCTCTCTCTCTCTCTTGCTATCTCCTTCTCCCGCTCGTTCCTCATTCCCTTGCGTAATGGATTAAGGTGAAAAATTTCACTCAATCGTTTTGGATCTTACCTCCTCGCGTCTCTCGCCTTCTGGAAAATGCTCTTGCCGGCTTTGGCTTGGTGTCTGGTCGACATGTGGCGCGTCAGGACGTCTCGACGACGCTGAAATGCTCGAAATTAGCGTCCGGGCTAGCAGAGATTCCTTAGGAAAGAGCAGGCTGCAGAGATTTTTTAGGAAAGGGCAGGCTAGCAGAGATGCTTTAGGAAAGGGCAGGCTAGCACAAATTCTTTAGGAAAGGCAGGTTAGCAGAGGTTCTTTGGGAAAGGGCAGGCTAGCAGAGATTCTTGAGGAAAACTCACCGCTGCATACGGGCATATGGTGCACTGATACGGCTTCTCGTCGGTGTGCGTCCGCCGATGGGTGCGCAGGTGGTCGGATCTGGAATGAGAAATTAGCTCGGGAGACCGGGGTACGGTAGCCTGGGGTGGAGCTTAGTAATTAGGTCTACGAGAAGCCGATTGGTTGCTAGGGGATGACTTAGACCGCGCTTAGGCTTAGGCTTAGGCTTAGCTTGGGCTTAGCTTAGGCTTCGCTAAGGTTTAGGCGTAGGTTTAGTCTTGGGCTTAGGCTTCACTTAGGTTTAGCTTAGGCTTAGCTTAGACTAAGCTTAGGCTCATGCTTAGACCTCAGCCTGAGCGCACAAAACGTACCTCGAAAACCATCGTCCGCAGCTGTCGCAGTTGAACGGCTTCTCGCCGGTATGACGTCGGAGATGGCTAAAAACGCGTGATTTTCGGGTTCTGTAAGGCGAATTTTAGTCTACAAAAATGCTAGCTTAAGCTTAGGCTTCACTTTGGCTTATCCTTTTCATTTCTAGTCTGCCCCTTCCTGCCGTGCAGAATTCAATCCAGAATTCCACGTATTCCGCCGCGCTCCTCCTCCCATCCCACGCCGCCCCCGAAATTCCCGCGCTGATAAGAACCGGCGCTAGACCGACGTTTCGCGGAAAAACGCGGAAAAGCGCTATCCCCCAAGACCCGTGACTCGGGTGTCGAAAAGGGTGAGATAATGGGGGTAAAAGGTCTAGAGGGCATGTGAATTGGAAGAGGGCCAAAAACTGCAAGGCTCTGTGTCGCAAAAGATCTCTGCTAGCCTATCCCTTCCTAAAGCATCTCTCCTAGCCCGCCCTTGCTCTCTTCTCTCTCTCTCTCTCTCTCTCTCTCTCTCTCTCTCTCTCTCTCTCTCTCTCTCTCTCTCTCTCTCTCTCTCTCTCTCTCTCTCTCTCTCTCTAGCTATCACAAACCAGTTACGCCATTTAAAACCCAAAAAAAAACTAAAAAACACCTACCGAGATAAAATATCTGGCCTCCGGAAGTCCTTTTTGCAAAAATTACACCAGTACTGCTTGTTGGGGTCATCATCGTCAGCGCCTAAAAATGAGCATGAATTCCGTAGCTCTGTCTTTCTCTCGCGCGCTCGGTCTCTCTCTATCTCTCTCGCTCTCTCTCTCTCTCCGCCTACCTGTCAGACTCGACAGCGAAGGTGATTTCTGCTCGCTAACCGACGACAGCGGCGATTTCGAGACCTCAGAAGGGGCAGACGGGGCTGGGGGCGAGATTTCTGAAATCAGAAATAATTAGACCCCTCGAGCAGGCTGGAGCAGGCTAGCAGAGATCACTGAGGAAGGTCAAAACTTACGTAAAAATACCGGATTTGCTGTAGTTGTGGCGGGGCTAGACAGTGAGGGCGAGAGCAGGGGATGCCTTGGTACTGCCGCGTACAGTGAGGTCCATAGCTGCTGAAAAGAGCATGGATCAGAGCGGGAGAGAGAGGGAGCGAGAGAGAGAGCGAGAGAGTGTAAGAGTGGCTTACCGTAGCTTGAGCCTGAGCCTGAACTTGTGCAGCTTTTTGTGCGGCTAAGAGAGCTTCGATAGATTGAGGGCCCGGAGGTGGCTGCTGTACTTGTTGGTGTTGCTGAGCTGCTACTGCTACGAGGTTCTCGGCTAGGGAGACGCCGGGAAGGGACTCACTGCGAGCAGCTATTAACTAAAATCAGGAAATTAGCGAGAGAGAGAGAGCGAGAGAGAGAGAGAGCGAGAGAGAGAGGTAGAGAAGCTCAAAACCCACATGAGGGCTCAATTGACTAGCCGTCTGAATCACCGATGTCTTCCGCTCAAGCCGAGGGTGAGTTCCGGCTAAAATACGCTAATAGTGCAACAAACTAAAATACAGTAATCAGCCCTTTTCAAGGCGCAACGACAAGAAAAACCCTCTAAAACGCACCTGTCGTGACCACCGTGGGGATGGCGGGTACGGTAGAGGCCGAGTGGGCTGAGATGGCATTTGGGGAGAGGGCCAGTGGCGAGGGCGGGACCGAAGTTTCCCCCCGGACTTTGCTCAGCACCTAAAGTGGCTTGGCTTAGGCTTAGGTTTAGGTTTAACTTAGGCTTAGGCTTGGGTTTAGGCCTAGGCTTACGCTTAGGTTAGGTTTTGGCTTGTTACAAGCTTAGGATTGGGCTTAAGCTTAGGCTTAGGCTTAGGCTTAGCCGAGGCTTAGTTTGGGTTTAACTTAGGCTTAGCTTAGGCTTAGGCTTAGGCGTAAGCTTATCTTTGGCTTAGGCTTAGGATTAAGCTTAAGCTTTTCAAGTTTCTTAAGACGCTCACAAACCTCAGAGAGCCTCGTCGGGTCCTTGCGACAATTGCCGGGCAGCTCGAAGGCGGACGTCGTCGAGAATTCGGCGGTTGGTGCCGACTTCCGCTCGAGTACTGTAAACGAGCGATTTTCGGGATCAGGGTTAGGGCTCGGCTCAGGCTTTGCCAAAAAGAGATATCTTTAAAGCAAAGTTCCGGAATCGAGTCGCACCTTCAGAAACGGAAGGTCGTCCTCGAGCCGGCCAAGTGCCATTTTGTACCACCGATTTTTTCCAATTTCAGAGATCCCCCCAGCTGGGCGGATCAGTTGGTCCCGGGCTGCTAAAGCCGCTTTTCGGCCGCCTACGTCGCCGCCGAATCCCCGGATTCTGGACATTTGTCTGATTTTCTGAGCCGTATAGACGGAGATCGGGGTGGGGCCTCGGTTTTCAACAACAAACATAACAGGCGGATTTTCGGGGAGAAACGCTGCAAAAAAATTCGCTGCTCGCCAAGGAGTGTTGTAAAATTCCCAAATGGTTTCTGCTAGCTTGCCTTCCCCCAAAGTATCTCTGCTAGCCTGCCATTTCCTAAAGAATCTCTGCTAGCCTGCCATTTCCTAAAGAATCTCTGCTAGCCTGCCATTTCCTAAAGAATCTCTGCTAGCTTGCCTTTCCCCAAAGAATCTCTGCTAGCCTGCCATTTCCTAAAGAATCTCTGCTGGCCTGCCCGTCTTGAATTTTAAAGGCACACTGAAGTCAACTCACGCGGTTTCTTGAGTAGATGATCAAATGTGAATCTTGTACAGCGAGTTGCATGGCCAGGGGTCGGGGTCGAGAAAGCCGACGAATCATAGAGTTGCAGTGGTGACAAGCCTGGTGGTGAGATGGCGAGTGAAGGCGACAAGCCGTTGGCTACGTGTTCTGAAAAAAGTTTTCTTGCTGTCTCTCTCTCTCTCTCTCTCTCTCTCTCTCTCGTTCTCTCTCTCTCTCGCTGTCTGTCTAGCTCTCTCCCTCTATCTCTCTCCCCCACTTACGCAAAAAGCGGCGCCCGGCGGGCTCTGCAGCCCGATCCCAGAATCCGACGATGATGACGAGGTCCGCTCGTGGCGGTACTGTAGCCATTTGTCGTGCAGCATTGAGGTGGATGCGGCTCGGGAATGTTCTGTCTGAAACTAATGCATTAATCGGGGGGTTTACAGGGGTATCAAGGATACGCTTTGAGGTTCGTGGCCTTGATTTCCAAAATTTTCCAGGCTACCAAAGGCAGGCTACCGTAGGCTTGGGTTAGGCTTGGGCTTAGGCTCAGGCTTGGGCTTAGGCCAGGCGTAGGCTTAGGCCTAGGTTAGGCTTTGGCTTGGACTTAAGCTTTGGGTTTAGACTAAAGATTAGTCTTAGACTTAGGTTTAGGCTTAGGCCTGGCTTTGGTTTGGGCTTAGGTACCGTAAGCCTATAAAGAAGCTTTGTAAGCTAAGCCCAAAGCTAGGCCGTTTTGGCAAGGATCCCTCAAAAGCAAAAATTTGGATCCCGCCAGCGCCTACACTTTTCTTTCCTAATCCCCCACCCGGCGGTCATCATTCTTTGAATCCCCTCAAAAAGCGAGAGCGAGAGAGAGAGAGAGAGAGAGAGAGAGAGAGAGAAAGAGAAACAGACACTGTCACCAGGAAACAATCGGAAAATTGGGCGATAAATGTAACGAAAAAGCAGAATCAACAGATTACCCCCCTAATCCCCCCTCGCATCAGTTACGCATTTTGTTGACAGCGCCCAACAAAGAAAAAAATAAAAAAGCAAAAAACGCCTGGAGGGTACGGTAGAAAAGAAGAGGGGGATAATCCCCCCTCGCCTACACTAATTGAAAACCACCTCCAAACGATCGGCAAAAAATTTCTGGGGGAAAATTGGGCGGATTATCACGATTTCCGTGTTTGCGGATTTGCGCGCAATTTTTATTCATTTTTATTGGATAATTAATCGTGTGATTTTTGCGACGTCAAACGGGGATTAGGATGAAGCGGAAAATGCGGTGTTTTATGTCAGAAATTTGCTAATTTTTGCCCCTTGATTTGTGAATTTTTGGGGAGGAGATTAGCACAAAAATTTGCAAAAACTACGCAACACTCCGGTAATGAGAAACCCTAGAAATTTTTGGAGCGTCATTTGTTGCAGCACGTACTCTGGAAGTCGTAAAGCTCTGCTATTTGATGTCGTAATCGAATCTCTCGGTTCTGACCTGGCTTTAAAGGATTTTGAAAGGAGAGAGGAAGAGAGAGAGAGAGAGAGAGAGAGAGAGAGAGAGATGAGAGAGAGAGAGATGAAGCGAAAGAGAAAAATAGAGCGAGAAAGAGCAAGAGAGAGCGGGTGAGAGAGAGAGCGAGGCTTAGAATTAGGCTTACACTTAGGGATAGGCTTAGGATTAGGCCTAGAAGCAGGCTTGGTCTCAGCTTAGGCTTGGGCTTATGCTTAGGCTTAGGCTTAAACTTAGGCTTAGCCCGGTCTCGAGCTTAACCCCCCTTGTAAGTCCCTTAAATACCTTTCCCATTTCCATAGAAACGACCAAATACCGTCCATACCGACAAATGGCTACAGTATCGGTTTATTTCGCCGGTTGCCCGGAAACACCGCCAAAAATTTGGATGGAAATAGACAAAAGACGCAAAAAGTGATGTCAGAAAGTTCGTTGGCGCTCGCAAGTGACGGCAGCCGGGTTTCTAATTAGCATCCGACGCCCTTTTGCCGAAAATTGAGTACTGTATGCCGGAATCGACGGAATGGCTGGCCGGGCAAGCCGGGCCAGCCGCTCCGATTGAAAAGCAGCTGCAAAAATTCCAGGTGCTTGCCCCCCGAATTGCGCCGAAACGGGGCCCTCGGGGAATCTGAAGGGAAACCTCGAAACCTAGGGGTTGTGGGGAAAATTTTGGAAGACGGGACTAGCAGAGATTCTTTAGGAAAGGGCAGGCTAGCAGAGATTCTTTAGGAAAGGGCAGGCTAGCAGAGATTCTTTAGGAAAGGGCAGGCTAGCAGAGATTCCTTGGGAAAGGGCAAGCTAGCAGAGATTCTTTGGGAGGGGCGAGCTAGCACAGATCATTTTCTTTAAACTCTTCCATGGAATCAGAAGCCAAATTGCCCGAGTCGAGCACCGGAAATTTGTGGAAATTCGGGGTGTAAATTGGAGTGTCGTGGCCTCGTGGCCGGATATTGGGCACCTCCTTTGGGACTGCCTACTCTTAGCGGGATACTGTAGCTTTAGAACAGGCTCGATTTGTCTTTGACATGGGCTTAGACGTAGGCTCGGGTTTGGGCTTAGGCCTAGGCTTAAACTTTGGCTTTGCTTAGGTTTACGGTCGGCTTAGGGCTAGTTCCGGCTTAGGCTAGGTTAGGATCGAGCATAGGCTTAGGCTTAGGCTTAGGCTTAGGCTTAGGCTTAGGCTTAGGCTTAGGCTTAGGCTTAGGCTTAGGCTTAGGCTTAGGCTTAGGCTTAGGCTTAGGCTTAGGCTTAGCCTTAGGTTCAGGCGTAGCATCGGCTTGGTTCCCAATTCTTAGCAGTTCCGTGTTAACATCTGCTTCTTCTCCTAATGCTATGACTCAATCGAAAAAAAATACCACGCGCCTGCACCGGCTGTTTTCCATTCGAAAATTCTGAAAAATCACCCGGAAAGTCCGATATTTAATTCATCCTAATTGGGCAAAAAAATGTCAGAACCCAGCTGCTACGCTGGCACGTGGTAGCGCGTCTGCAAAATCCGGGGGTCAGCAGGTTAGGGGCCAGAAAACTGGATAATTTGTTTTTCGCATGGTTGCTGAAGTCGCCGCAAAAGCATGCCTGTGGTTAGTCAAGATTTTGATGTCGTAATCGATTTTCTGGGGTTGTCAGCGCCTTTAAAATTCAGTAGAGAGCTGCTTAACATAACGCAATAATCTTAGTCTGCCCTTTCCTAAAGAATTGCTGCTAGCCTGCCCTTTCCTAAAGAATCTCTGCCAGCCTGCCCTTTCCTAAAGAATCTCTGCTAGCCTGCCCTTTCCTAAAGGATCTCTGCTAGCCTGCCATTTCCTAAAGAATCTCTGCTAGCTTCATTGAATCCCTAAAGCACCAATATATTCCCGGTCCCTCTCAACCTACCGTAACCCACCTTGGAGGCCCGGGGGACAGGGGCAATATTGCCCCCCCTCCAGTCCCCCCGGGCGAAACACCTGCCTTTTAGGGGATTATCCGCCCTTCTACGCCTGCCCGGACAAGTCATCCACCTAATAACTACCCGATCATCGATTTGAATCGACTTCTCGGCGGCCAAAATTTGCATCACGGCACGTAGGCAGGTGGTGGCGTCGGGGGGTACGTGCCGATCGGCAGCCAGATACCGCCGTTTAAATGCGTGACTGCGTGTAACCGGGAAAATGACGTTGAAGGGACTGGCAAGGCAGGCTTCGGCATGGGCTTAGGCTGCTTTGGTTAGGCTTAGCTTAGGCTTAGGCATTAACTCAGGCTTGAGCTTCGCTTAGAATTCGGCTCGTGCTTGGGCTTAGGCTTATGCTTAGGCTTAGGCACAGACTCAGGCCTAGGCAAAGCTCAGACTTAGGCTTAGGCTTCGTTTGGAATTGGGCTTAGGTTTCGACTTAGGCTTTGTTTAAGCTTTGCTTAGCTTAGGCTTAGACTTAGCCCCCTTTCCTACCGTCGAAGTCGATGCGACCGTGTCCTCCTCGGTGACCGAGAAAATTGGGATGCCGTTCATGGCGTAGCGTGGCGTAGCGTAGCGTATCGTACTACTGGGGTCAGCTCACCATTTGATAATTTTGAAGGGCTAAAAGAGCGAGAGTGATCGGTAAACAAGAAAGTGAGAAAACGAAAAAAGAGGAAAAAAGCTAGCAAAGTTTCTTTAAGAAACGGCAGGCTAGCAGAGATTCTTTATGAAAGGGCAGGCTGGCAGAGATTCCTTCGGATTTCAAGCTTCAAAAACCTCGTTAAAGACGCAAAAACAGGGCTCCGTATGAAGAAATGAATCGGAAAATTTGATGGCGGTCCAGGTGGCTTCAAGTCGGCCGAACCTCTCAAAAATTCGCCAAAAATCTGCCGCTGTTTTGTCGGGAAGTGAGAGTGAACACGGTGCATACGGTCGCCCGGATTTCAGCTGCTTGTTAGAGGCGGGATTCTGGGGTACGGCATGAAGAACGCGTAAAACTTGAAAAATTCGGACCGGCAGGGTTCAATAAGTTCAGTCAAATTGTAAATTCTAGACTAGCAGAGATGATTTAGGAACTAGCGATGGGCCAGCATATCTCTGCTAGCCTAACTTTTTCTAAAGAATCTCTGCTAGCTTGCCTTTTCCTAAAGAGTCTCTGCTAGACTGCCCTTTCCTAAAGAATCTCTGCTAGCCTGCCCTTTCCTAAAGAATCTCTGCTAGACTGCCCTTTTCCTAAAGAATCTCTGCTAGCCTGCCCTTTCCTAAAGAATCTCTGCTAGCCTGCCCTTTCCTAAAGAATCTCTGCTAGGCTGCCCTTTCTAAAGAATCTCTGCTAGCCTGCCCTTTCCTAAAGAATCTCTGCTAGACTGCCCTTTCCTAAAGAATCTCTGCTAGCCCGCCCTTTCCTAAAGAATCTTTGCTAGACTGCCCTTTCCTAAAGAATCTCTGCTAACCTACCAATCCTAAGGCAGCTCTGCTAGTCTGTCCTGGACAGGCAAGCTAGCGGGAATTATTTGGGAATGTGATGATCTAGCAGAGATCCTTTAGGAAGCCGGGGTAAGCTGGCGGGGATCCTTCGGGAAAGGAAGGGTAGGCTAGCAGGGAATGTTTAGGAATTTAGGGACGTTGTCGGGGGTTTCGTAGCAAGCTGGGCAAGCTAGCAAAGACTATTTAGGAATTTTGAAGAAAACTAGCCGAGGTGCTTTGGAAAATTCTGGGCAATCGAGCAGAGATAATTGGCGGAAAATGGAAAGAAGGGCCATCTAGCAGAGATCCTTTGGGACATCGCGGTAGCCTTGTAGAAAAAATTGAGGAGGGGTGGGTAGGCTAGCAGAGATAATGTAGGATTTGAGGGGTGCTAGCAGAGATTCTTTAGGAAAGAGCAGACTAGCAGAAATTCCAAACTCGTCAAATTCTGGAATTAAATTCCCGAAAAACCGATTAAAA